TTCATTTATTTTACCTACGTGGCTTTATCGAAAAAAACAAAGAGCATGAATCCTTGCAGTCACGAAAGCTTCAAATCTAGAATCATTACAAGTCACTTAACACGTGACTGTTGCGACCAACATGCCTTTCGGAATAGAACAGTTCCCCGACATGGTTGTGTACTTTAATAGCTGATACAAATTGTACGATTGGAATATCATTTTGGGGATGAAGCAGAGATATGCAGTTAGTGATATCGATCAAGTGTATATCCGGCTATAAGAACGTGGCATTTCCACGAATATTAGTTCTCAGAGCTGGCAACGGAGATAACGATGATAACCACCCAAGACTCGCTTAGCATTCATTTTCATCGGCCACGATCAACCCAGCAGCTGGACGAAGACCTTCCCCAACCCCTTGTCGAAATCTATCACTCCCCGCGAGAAGACTCGTAAACGTGGGAAGGTGGATCGTGGTTGGTCTGGAGGACTGGATTTTTTTGAGAAACTCTGCTCTAGAGTTTGCAAATATCGCACTAAACTCACCACGCGTTTTTGGGCGGAGCGCCAAATGGCAACATTGAGACGCAAACGGCAAAATTCGAAGCAATTAAGAGAGTGCAGGTGCAGATATATTGATGCTGCACCCCAATCGCTCATCATATAGCAGCCAGTCTTGTGATAACACGACAAAAGCAATAAATACACTTTCACAAATAAGTCGAGGTTTTTTCAGGGTTTGTCGAGGAGGCAATTGACGCTCCCGTATGTGTGCAACAATGATTTGGAGGCAAACGAATTCCTGTTTCGAAGGTCGATGACCAAGGCAAATGGGCTCATTTTAAATGCAGCCTTCGTTTGCGTTGTTCTGTCATACTATTATCTACGCACCGAATCACTAATCCAGCCAGACACCCACCAACTATAATCCTCTCACTTAGCCGGGCAGCCAGCAAGCCAGCCACACATTCAGCTAATTACCCACCCAGTCACTTTTAGCCACACACTCAGGCATTCATCTCAGCCGTGAGCCACCTACCCAACCACCTGACTAGCTACCCACGTAAAGCGAGTCACATCCTCAGCCACCATCTTAGCCAGGCAAGACACTCATCCAGCAGCTTACCCACACATCTATCAGTCACATACCCAGCTACCCATCCAGGTACCCAGTCACCGAGCCACCCACTTTGCAAGACACTACCCTCCCATATACACACCCACACATTCACGCAGTCATTGACACGGCAAGGCAGCTACATATTTACCCACCCAGCCACCCTCCCAGTCATCCAGCTATCAATTTACTTAGCTAGACATCTGGACAACTGCTCACCCAGCTAGCCACCTGCCTACAACAGCCATACAAGTCACACAACCCACTCAGCCAGGTAGGTATAATGCTAGCCACTGACGTAGCCACCCACTGAGGCCCCCACAGTTACTCATCCACTTAAGTCACCCACTTAGCCCCCCCCGCCCCCATCCAGTCCCACCACCTTTCTCAGCGCCGTTCATGCGGTCGTGAATCGAACCGTTGACTTTCAGAGGGGAAGCATTTCAGTGGACTCCATCACCGCACCGTATTCCGAACCTTCATCCCCACCACAATCGCCACCCTCGCGGCAGAGTCCTGTGTTGAGGGGCAGGGGAGGGGGGTGAGCTATCTGTCGGCTGGAGTGATAATTATTAAAGGTGAGCGGTGGGGCGCGCTCATGTGCGCAAGTGGCGGCGCTCCCAGCGAGCGCAATGAAACATTCATGGGGGCAATTTGTTCGCGCAGCAGCTGGAGATGAATATTTAAGCGATACTTAAATAAATAAAGTATTGCGTGCGCGCGCCTGCACGTTTTATTTTGAAATATGCAATAATAAAAAATTAAGGCAAAGGCAAAACAGTGTGTGTTTGAGCGGGGCGGGGGCTGTGCTTGCAGGAGCTGGTGAGTGGAATGGGTACGTGCTGGTGAATTTGAGGTTAAGTCTTCGTTTGATGTGGTGAGATTTCGTGACAGTTTGGGTATCGATGAGTTTCGGTAAACTCTGGAGAAGTTGTGGGTGAGTGAAAGTTAAGTACAGTGGTGATTATTGCCGTGTGTTTGCAAAATACTGTTTGGTTAAAATGTGGTGCGTGTTTGTAAGTGCTCGTGAGTTCTGACGAGCGTTGGTAAGACGTCACATTTTGGGGTAAGTGCCGTTAAGTATTTTGGAGTGTTGGTGAGCATCGGTAAGGATGTGTGTGTGCTGGCGAGTGCTAGTGTTGGATAGGGGGACTCGTGATCTCGACTGAGCTCCAACAGGCGTCGTTTAGTTGATAAAAACCCCACGGGGGGGGGGGGGGAATCCTCGTCAGGTGTGCTGTGATGTGTGCATGTATGTTGAACTTCTTTCGCACAGTACGTCGCCAATCGAAGGCGCTGATCCGAGGTGGTGTGAGTCGAGGCTGTGGTGTAAGCGATCGAGTGCTTTGGGCCCCATGGGCCGGTGGGGGGGAGGACCCTGGGAGGCCCAGGCGCCAAGTTACGAAGGGGCGGGGTGGGTGGGATTTGGACAATGGGCCCCATTTCATTTCTAGCAAACAGGGACCACGTCAACCACGCTACGCCGACAGCGAGGTGTGTGGGTCCGTGCCGAGAGAAGGGTGAGCGTGTGTGTAGCAATGGAGCGTGTCACGTGGGGCATGCGCCAGAGTTTGTTTGCAGAAGAATATTTGAACTGAAACTTATCTTAGATTGCATTCATTTGTATAGGAAACTAAGATGCATTGTCTCTGTAAATGTTTCTACAACGAGACGCAAGACATGGGACCTGGTCCCTCGACGCCCCCCGTGAAAGCCGACCCTGCTGCCCGTCTGTCAGTGGGCCAGGGCTAGGGTCGCGTTGGATGTGTAAGGGGAGTCAGAGTATTTTAAGTAATTACACGCTGCACGTGCCCGATGCTTGTCGAACGTGTGTCATGTGATAAGACAGCGCTGATTCATATTATAATAGAGACGTGTTGTGCTGGTGTGTGTGTGGGGCTGTGTTCGATTCCCGCTCACGGCCAACACCAGTGACAATTAAAATTATCATCATCACTTATAGTCTGTTAAGGCGATATTGCGCAGCTCGCAATCGTGCAGGCGGTGCAGCTGCACCAGTGCCCACAAGACGGAGGCGCCGAGGAGCCAGGCAACGAAAGGCACACTGGGTGGGGGTCCATATCATTCCTTGCACTGGAGCCCGTGCCGACCAAACTCGGCAACTACGGAGAGAGGAGCATGGATGTGTCCCTGTTGAACTGCCCTTCACTCCTGAATTCTTTGTTTCTCTCCGCTTCCCCGGGGTGGGCGAGGAGCGGTGAGACCCACGCTGCTCCCGAGATGATGAATCTGTGTCGATGAAGCTGCACTGATTCACTCTTCACGGAGGCTGCAGATGACTTGTCCGTAATGTATTATTTTCAACACCGCCACACGCGCCGCTTTGCTGTGTCCCAGACTTGTGCGGCAGGGTAAGCCGACTGACATTTGGACACTTCCCATTTATTAGACAAGCATATTTAATTATGGAAATGAACGCACTCTGAACTTGACTTCTCTCCAACTCAGACCTCATTTACCGAGACGTTTCACGACTTAAAACACAGACGGCGGTAATGTGGGGGGACTGCCCGGATAAAACAAAACAGATAATGTAAATCAGATATGTAAATGAGGCTCCGGCTATACAAAATAATTGTTTAGCTTCGTAAAATGTGCATGAAGATGTGGAACACGCTATCCGTTGTGACTGTCAACGCATCAGTTTGCTTTGCGACGTGTTTGCAGTCGTGTGGGCATCGAGGCTCATACGTTCTAGTCACGGCTAGGCTCTGTAATGATCTCTAACACAGCCCACCTCTGGTTTGCCCCGCTCAGTGGGCTTGCAAAGACCCCCCCGAGCGGCTCGGCAATGGCTCGGCTCACGCTCAGCGCGTGGAATTATTGAGCATTGCTGGAACCGTGCTCAGAGGCGGCGCGTGACTTTGAGCCGGCTCACTTGAGCCAGAGCCAAGCCTGAACAGAGCCGTGACTAAGAATACGGCCCTGAGACTCGGATCTCCGACGAGTCGGGAGCGGTTCATAATTATGCCTGGGTGTGCAATTAACGGTGCAAATGAGCACGGGTAATCTGCCCACCGCACGGATAGTCACGAGATCACTGTAGCATTGCACCTGTGCTCTAATGAGCTTTCGCCGACGTTCATCTTCGTTCATAATCCTGCGACAGCGACGGAAATTCCACATTCATATGGCATCGACACGGTTCCATGTGCCTTCACTCCTCACGAGCCGCCGTGGAACATTTCTCTAAGGTTAATAATGTACCTCCTTTTGTAATAGAAATAAAGGACTTACATGCTGCACGTGCCTGATACTTGTTAAACAAATGTCATGTGATAAACAGTGCCGATTCAAATTACGAGTGACCTGTGTGTGTCAAGTGAGGTAGAGCGCACACTCAAATTAATCAGCAGTGTACACATCGCATGGGATGTGTTTAGCAATGATCAGGCTTGTGCAGCAGTTACATTTTTTTTTATTGCAACAGAGATACAATGTTAAATTCTGATTTTTTTAACAAAGTCGTGAGCGAGGACTGAACTTGGAATACCCTGGCATGTGGCATCGCCCCCTACCCTCAGACGAATGCCTTGGGGTCACTCTTGCAAACAAGCCTATTCGGATATCGTGAGTTCTCACATGGTTAAACAAAAATAAAATTTAAACATTAACTACCCATTGGACAACAGTTGCATCGATCACCGATTAATCAAGTGATCTTCCCCAAGACGAACCCCAAAGGGACCACGGTCTGATCGATCCTGGTTGGGATTTGAACTCGCATTCCTTTTTGCGGAAGTGCTGCTGCTTCTATCAAACACTTTGCGCTTGGCCCTGGTTTCCGTGCCAGTTAATTATTTTGCCACGAATGACAACCGACAGCCCTTTCGGAGTTAAAACAAAAACCCATCTTGCTGGATACACAGTGAAAACAATGTTTACCATTATAACAGGTGTTGATTTATTGTTGTTATTTTTTTTTATTAACAGGGTTCCAACTTCCCATATTAGTGATAAAACATATTGTACAAAACAGAATGCCCTGTAAAATATTCAGACCTGAACAAATACATCCTCTCTGAAAGCTTGCGGTATTGATCGTAGTTGTTATTGTGTTGTCTTTTTTTAATTATAACAATATTGTTTTGAAACTAATTTATTTCGGCATTAGGGCATGCTTGCATGGCTTTCACATCGCGTCCATCATGTACACTACAGAGGATCCTATAGTGAATGCACGCACCCACCCACGCACGTGCACACACAAACTATTTCTCATCCAGGTCGTGAGTTTCACTATTCGGCGACCGACGTTTATATTTTACAAAGTGACGGCGAGCACACAAAACAGCGGAGGGGACCCCAAAAAAATCTGGAGACAAAAAAACAGAACGATACTTTTCTTGATGTACGTGACGTCTTTTTAACTTAACATTCCTGACAGATCATGGTCTCCGATGGTGCAGGAACTGTATTTTCATCTTGCTTTAAAGCAAAAACCTTATTATCCTGTGTGTGTGTGTGCAAGTGAGAAATAAATGTCTGCGCTTGGAGCGGTGATGCAGTGGTTCACGCACTACACCATGAACCCGATGACCTTGATTCAATTCCCAGCCATGGATCATTTCAGTGGCGAGTCGCATCTGAACCGTTCCTGGGCCTCCCATAGGTTGAATCAACCATGAATGAGGACATGGTGTGTGCAAACATGGCAAAGGGGAGGCAAAGGCGGATGGGCATTGTGCTGGCCACATTACACCGCCATGTGCTGTGCCAAGCCTTAATAGGAGTTCGGTAACAGCACTTACCCATCAGTCTATGGCTATACGGGAATCTTTATAGTTGTCCTAACAGATGAAAACAAGTCCTTGTTAAGCCTTGTATATAGATGTGAGCAGTGGGCCTAATTGTGTGAGCATGAATGTATTTATTTATTTAACAACCACAAATGTGGTAGAAATAATTCACCATGGGAGCTAAGATATTTCTCAATATAATATGGATATATCTGGATATATCTGGTGCAGGCACTAATAATGCCCTGGTGTTGTGACATTTTATCACCCTCCCTAGCAGACACTTTTTGATAACGTCCGTATATCCGGCGAGGTACAGCCGCAGAAAAGAAACGTATGCCCCCCATCTGCCAGCAGAAATCTCACAAATGTTAAAATTATCAAAATGCGGTCCCATATCACTGAGAACCACTGGCCAAATAAAAGCTGCTGTGTTTTAAGTCTCTCAAACCATGCGTCTCAAGCCATTGAAAGAAAACCAAAATTTCAAACCGATCATTGCGGAGAATGTGTTTTTTGGGGAAGAAGAGAAAATTAGGATAAAATTAAATATATATAAACTAATCCCTTTCTGCAGCAAAAATGTTCATGGCCCAAGTACATGGCTGCTCTAACATCACTCAAATCTCTCATTGCATTCCATCGCACACCACCTGACCCCACTGGCACACAAGGCCGCCTCTCGTCCAAGCGGCCGATAATCTTAATCCGTAATCTCATTCAGCAGAGCCTCCTCCTTGAGGGCAGTTATCGCTCAGAAATATTGCAGCTCCGCCCGCCGTCACCCGCGGGGCCGATGGCTGCACACAAACGCAACAGGATCAGGGTCTGACGGTATCGTGGCAGTAGACGGTATCGTGACAGCTCCGTGGCCTCGGCCCCGTGGCCTCGGCCTGGTGACCTCAGCCTGGTGACCTCAGCCTTGTGACCACAGCCTGGTGACCTCAAGGAGCCTCGCTCACTCCCCCACGCGCTCGCAAGACGCCGGGCGAACGTGGCTCCCGTGCGTTATCTGCGCGCCACACCCTTCTAACGTCAACATCGTAGCCTTAGATGTTTAAACAAAAAAACCAGAGAGAAAAAAAGTGTCAGCTTTAGTAAGTTTTCATCTCTATTTTTTCTTGTCTTTTTTTTACAATTAATGTTATAGTGACCGCTATTACAAGACCAGAAGTCTACAATGCTAAGCTGAGAACAGTTATTTTGCACGTCTACAAGTTATTTTACAGCTTTGTGTAATGAAGCAAAATGTTAGTTTGCGAGAGTTACTTTTGATCAAAATGCTATGGTATGTTATTAATATCATCGTATTTAGGTCCACTCATTTTGTTCAGTACAAAAAAAATGAAATTCTCTTTTACGTAAAATTATTTTATGCCGTCTCCTATAAATTATGACAAGAAACCCCTGGCAGTGAACGCGAGTGAGAGCAGAATTCTTGGTTTGTTGCCAAAAGGCGTCAAGCGAAATTCAGCCAAACAAAGACTCCCGTGTCTTGGGGAAAAGACAGATTTGCGGTGCACAACCGGTAACCCCCCCCCCTGCCCACCACCGTCATGCACAGACGACATGAAAAGTGATCTGATTAACCGCAAAGCTCCCTGAGTTTAGGCATCAGCGACCGCCTCTCGAACGCAAATGAAATCCCGTGGAGTCGCACCCCTTGCGCCACACAGCTAACACCTTCGGTCCCAGGTCCATCTGCCGTCGCCCCCTCCTCCTCCTTCTGCTGCTGCCGCTGCCGATTATAATGTACGATTTGTTGGCCATTCCTCTTGATATCTCTTGCTGAAATTCTTTTTTCTTTATGCAGCTTAGAAACAAGTGCTCAGCTGAATCGGCTGAGCTGTGTTCTCTCAGCGTCGGCAGTGCCGTATACAGTAGATGTGCAGTCATCATCGTCGTCGCTGGCGTCATCATCATCAACTTCATCGTTGTCGGAGAAGTTCGCAGTGAACTGTGGGAGATCAGCCACATTCTCGCTTCCCAGGGTCAACGTGGAAAAAAATGCCCGTCCCAGCAGGATTTTGATTTCCATTGCTTGCCAATATTTAATTCCGTGCATGTGTTTTTTTTTGTAAATTCATTCTTATCAAATTAAATCTTTTTTTTCATTTTGATGATTTTCATTACGTTTCAGCTCAGCTGCTCAAGGCAGGATTGCTAGGCTCTACGTGTTTTTTGAAAGAAACAAATTTTCAGGGGACACAGACGTCTGAAACTCATTGGCGTTGCTATTTACAGCTCTCCGGCACAGCGCGTGCGCGGCCACGCGTCCCAAGCGAGATCGAGCTCGGGTCTCTGCTCTCGTGAACGAGTCCGCAACGCCGCAACGAGCCCGGCGCTCGGAGGCCGTCATGACCCACGCAGTCCATGAAAGGTCAAAGTTCATCGCCTCGCAACCACCCCAGGCCCCACAGCTCAAGTCCAGCTGGAGAAGAATGGCAGGCCCGCTTCAGTAGATCACCTCGTAGACAGTGGCCTTCTTGTCCCCGGAGCCAGTGACGATGTACTTGTCATCGCCCGATATGTCACAGCTCAGCACTGACGACGATTCTTTCGACTGTAACAAGACGACAGATAGCAGTGTCATTGCAATATTTCAATGGCTTTTGGTAGGTTACATTCATAATAATGCCCTTTATTCAGTAAAGACGCGCTCCTCAATGCAGGGGAGTCCTGCATTGAAATATTTGGACAATTCCATTTGGCATGTGGGAGGAAACCAGAGTACCCTGAGAAAAGCCATGCATACGAGATAAGGACCAAAGCACCACTCAAAGGGGTCAAGTATCCATTGCTGTACTATTCTTTGACCACCTCAAAGCCCAATCCTACAAAACCTGGTACTACCCATCCAGGGATTAATCAGACTCAATCCAACTTAGCTTTCGAGATCTGACAAGATCAGGTGCATTCATGGTGATTTGGTCAAAGGGAGCATTAAAATATTAACCAGTGTTAAAAAGTTTGCTAAGAGCTGTTACGTGGGACACAGCGAGGGTGGCAAATGTTCCATGCGCCAAAATATAAAGATCCCCTCTGTATAATCTTAACAGACTTTTGAGGAAAGTGCTCTGAGCGAGCATCTACAAAGGCTGGTACAGCACATCAGGGGGTGGGTGGCCAACCCCATGCCTGGCCACCTTTGTCTCTCCCCAGTGCTGACATTTTTACACACTGCACCAGGTACTCGTTTGAGGCTGAGCAGTGGCCATGAGTTGGAATCGAACTCGTGTGGCCGGGTTTGTAGTGCTACACTACCGCTCCATGGCCAGATTGTCATGCAGCCATGCAGCTGGTGAACATTTATCAAGGAAATAATCTTCCAGTGGCTACACGGCTCCCACTTGTGACCCAGAATTTTTTTTTGGTTGTGAGATTCCACCAACACGGCCATTAATAGACTCAATGTTAGCTGTGGTTCTTTTAAAAATATTTTAATCAGGAGGAAAAATCATATCCTGAATTCTGTATCATCTCTCTGTCTTGGCTTTGGACACAGAAGAGGAAAGTCTGTATTCAAGTCGATCGTTTTGAATACTTTGTCGACAAAGCACATTGCTCCTGTTCTGTATAGTAAAATAAAACAACGCTTTTGTATGCTACGGACTGAGACTCGGGGTTCTGTGGCGATTGCTAGGAAAACAAAGTCACGTTGGTGATGAGAAGAGCTAACTGTCGTCACGTGGAATAGAAAAAAGAACATTCTGATATTGGCTATGGAGGAGACAAACGGGCCACTGTGTGGCCTCTGAGAACTTGGCTCGACGTCCGGTGGCACGGCTGGACGGCCGGATCAAGGGGGGCAGGGGGCTGCCAAGCGTCGGGCACGCCCATGTTTACGAACGTCTGGCCGTCCCAGCACGATCGCCATTACTCGAGGAGCGCCACACCGTGCTGTGCTCCAGACGGCCGGGCCGATAAACCCGCGCGCGCTTTGACGTTTCTCCCGACGTGTCTTCGGGTCGAACCGCGTGTCGTTCGGTACGACGTCCGACGTTTCTTTCCACGCCACGTGCAAAATGTCGCGCGTCGTGCCCGGCGATGCATGGTGCGTAACCCCAGAGCTATGCAGCGCAACCGCCAAAACCCATACGGGGTTTAATTTCGGCCCAGGGTCTGTATAGGTCAGCAAACCGGAAAATATTTCCACACTCGGATTTAGTACACCTCTTGCTATGGCTGTGGCTACTAGTCACATGCCATCAGTCAGTCTCATCGGCGACCTGGAAAATATTCGGTGAGAAATTAAGCCCTCCCCCGAACCCACCCCGTCTCTCATCCTTTGTTGCAAAACCACCATTCTCACCTGAAAGATGCTGGCCCCGTACGGTGTCCTCCAGGCATTGAGTAGGTTGTCCTTGCCCGTGCTCACGAACCACTTGCCTGCACAGCACAGAGTGCGACACCATGTCAACGATCAACGCATTCCGCCGACTTTACAAAAAGCAATTCTAAAGAAATTAGTTTTCAAAAGTTTTAAATGTGCATAGCTCCAGTGGCTTCCTAATGTCAGAAGGAAGAGCATTCCAGACGGCCGCAAAAAAGCATCTGAAAGCGCACAATGCAGTGGCCGTCTTTGTTCGATGGCAAGTCAAAATCCGCAGCTGCGAGGATGACTGGAGTTTGCCTGATGGTTTATGGTGCTTGACGACATCAGCAAAGTATTGTGTTTCATTTGTGGCAAGCACTTTGTGCGAAATGAGCGCGACCTTATCATGTTTTCGTTCAGCAACCAGAAGTCAATGCAGCTCGGTGAGCGATATGGGGGGGGGTCGGGGGACATTTGTCTTTGTTTTGCCATACCGCAGTGGGCGAACTTGAGTGAGAGCACGCAGCTCTCATGCAGGTGCAGCTGATACTTGTCCGGTTTCATGCAGTGCAGCACCTCCACGTTGCTGCTCTCCATGCCCACGGCGAGCCACTCGCCCGTCGGGCAATAGCCCAGCGAGAAGATCTGATGGCACGTGGACCGGGGGAGAAGTTTTATGATGATTGTAACTACACTGGCGAAGGTGATGGTTGTGATTACAATGATGGAGACGACGGTGACAGTGATGATAATAGCGGTGATGGTGTTGATGGTGGTGGTGTTGGTAACGATGACCATGCCATCGACTGTGCCAGTGACAATCGTAGTTAAGAAAATAGCCAACGATGCTGGTGACCCAAGTTCATCAGAGTGAAAGAGTCAGTGTTCTACAGAGCTCACTCGAGCAATGGGCTTCACTTATTGTCCAGTCGGTGGCATAAATCCCATGTTCCTATGAGCAGCCTTTGCACAGGACGATCTTTGTTCATATTGCTCCAAAGGGTGCAGTTGCAGCATTTAGTAATCCCAGAGCAGCAGCGGGATACAATGATGCTGATGATGACGATGACGATGAGCTTCATAGCTCATCAGATTCCTCCAGTGTACATACATATTCTGATTCTGACAAATGCTGATGTTGTTGATGACACTGGAGCCAAATCCAACTTTGCAGAAGCCTGAAGCTACGCTCTCACAGCTGAGAACTACTCTAATACATCCAACTGACTAACTCTGTATCCCGGCCCTGACGATGGCCATGGCAGTGGCAAATGGTGGCGATGGCGTAAAGGCGCTCACCTGCGAGGTGAAGTCGTGCTGCTGCAGCTGCCGTCCCTCGCGCAGGTCCCAGGAACGCACCGTGTTGTCTAGGCCGCCTGTCCACAGCTTCATGCCGTCGTGCGAGATGTCGATGCAGCTGGCACCGTCCGTGTGGCCCTGGAACTGCCTGCGATGGGGCCGCGCGCGCGCGCACATAGGAACAGAGGCCGGTTAATGAAGCTCCATTTCCCTATCCAGCACGAACATTTTCTTCTGCAAACTACAGCCCTTTACAAATACACAAAAGACAAGGTACTATATATATCCGTCCATCTATGTAATTGTCCATCGTAGGGCAATACTAATATTTTTCACGAAAACTACGAAACCTCTAAAAGAAACACTACAAAACTTTCCCAGATGAGACTCTCTCCGAGCCTTGTCCGAGGCCCCATCTGAAGCCCTTTGTGAGGGCCCCACCAGATTTTGAGATTCGAGGCTCAAGGCAAATTGCACCAGCTCTGCACCTGTAGAAAGATCGCGGATTGGTTACATGCGGCCCAGACCCAGAGCGCGAGCCTCACCTGACGAGCGTCTGGTTGTGCAGGTCCCACACGGCGATGTTGCCGTCGCTGCAGCAGGAGAAGCACACCTTGGAGTCAGGACTGATGGCGAGCGCGTAGCACGCGGGCGCCGACGACGTCAGCTCCGCCTTGATGCGTGGGGTCGGCGCCGCCAAATCCCAGATGGACAGTGTGCTCGCCTCGCCGCCCACGATCAGCGTGCGCCCATCCGGCAGCAGCTTGCACGAGCGGATGTAGTTGTCCCGGTTCTGCAAGGGTGGGTGCGCGATAGGGCAGCGTTCAATGCGAAGCCAATAAACGTCCCGGCTTGACAGGGAAAAATCCCGGTCATGTCATGAAGGTTCCCCTAGTGTCCCGAAGCATTTGTGAAGAGTCGGGATTTTTTTTATCAGCTCAGAATCTTCGGGACTCGTCCTCGACTCGAGATATGGGTGAAGAGCGGTGCTACCTGCGTAGTGGGCAGGGATGGCAGAGGACTAGGTGGGGCCTACGAGCGGTAGTGGAGGCCAATGTCAGAAAGAGGGGAGGCTCCTAGCTGCGTGGGCAGTACTAGTGGTTACTAAAAAGTAGGCAGGGCTGACGGAGGAAGAAACTTCCAGCTGACCATATATATATTCTGGTCGAGCATCTTTGACAATTGGCCATTTAAAATCAAATCCTCATTGTTCAGCGAGCCCACATGGTGGGGGCGGTGGTGGACGATGATGGAGGTGGTGATGTGACGTTGGGAGATGGGGTAAGCGCGGCACTGACCAGGCAGTCAAGCTGCGAGACGGGGCTCTTGCCGGCCGGGTCACGGATGTCCCACACCTTGACGCAGCCCTTGCCCCCCGTGTAGACGTGGCGCGTTGGGTTGCTGATGGTGACGGCGCACACCACCTCGCCGTGGCCCAGCGTGCTGATCTGCCGCGCGTGACGCGGGATCCCCGGGCCGATGAGCGCGTCGGGCGGGAACGGCACGGGCTGCATCTGCCCGTCAGCGCTCACGTGGAACGAGTACGCCCTGAGGGGCGCGTGCGGAGAGACAGCGAAAGGCGAAATGGAGGATTAGAGACGCCTGAATGCAAGGCGCTGGCTGGCAGAGAATATGGAAGGCAGAGCAAAAAAAAAAAACAAACAAAAAAAACCCCACGGAGAGAACGCGATGTTGCAGCGCACAGAGATAAAGAGGCCACACATTAATTTGAAATATACTTTAATGAGAAAAAAAACATCACAAGACACAGCGTATCCATTGCACGACGGTCCCGAGACAAGCGTTGGCCGAAGAGCAAAGCGACACCGACAAAACGCGCGTTCCACCAAATACGCCGGTGTGCACGCACGCAGCCCGCGGTCCCATCGGGGACGCACGGCGCCCATGCGATCGACAAAGGCGCCGCCGCCGCAAGTCCCGTGCCGGTGCTTACGGTTTTCCGCCGGGGATAGAGGCCAGGCCCGAGGGGATCCCGGGACCCCGCATGTGGGAGTGGGGATCGAAGCCGACCTGGGGAGGGGGGACACAAACGACGGCGCCGGGGCGTGAGCATTCTACGTGGAACAATGCTCAAGCTCTCTTACATTTATATATTTATTTATAGATATTTATAAAAAAATAAAAAAAGTCTATTACAGGTCAGCCTTTAATGACCGATCAGACTCGTTGCTTGGACAGTATGACTTAAGTGCCTTTGAACTATACTGCACATGCCATATGGTAATGCACTTTACTTGAAATCTTACGTTTTATTTTTAGACTTTAATTGTTAACTGTGAGTGATTGTTTCATATTCGTTTAAGGTTTTTTTTGTTTCTTGATATTTCGACCCTGTTGTTTTGAACGGTTATCACATGTGGCACTGCATTGCTTTTGTGTTCCAGATGTCCTTTACAAAGAGACTTTGAGTCTCAAGGGGATTTTAGCTGCTTTTAAATGAATAATGGATATTTATTGATTTGTTCATCACAGGTTCATCGCCAGTGGTAAAGAGCCCATCTCATAGTCGAGTGAGTCCATGCGCACACTCACGTACACTCACGTACGTACAGATTCACGCATGTGGGCTCAGCTCGACAAAGACCCCCCCCCACCATACCCCCCTGTATAGCCTTGAACAGACTTATGGGGCAAGTACTCTTAGTGAGCACCTATGAAGGCCGGCACTGCACACCAGAAGGGTGGGTGTGGCCACCCCTATGCCTGGCCACCTTTGTCTACTTAGTGATGTTTTTACACACCTCACCAGGTACTCATTTATGGCTGAGTCGATGTAGGGGAGGCACAGGATCGTAAACCCACACATACTCGCACGCACGTGCAAGCACGCATGCACACCCACGTACGTGCGACAAACGTACACCCAAATGCATATACGTGTACAAACACATAAAGACAAAGATCCGCCATACAGCCTTGACATACTATTGGGGCACGTGCTGTCAGCATGTACAAACACACAGACGTTCACACGCGCGAAGGCTCACCATGGGGTTACGTCCGTAAGCGGCGGCGGCAGCAGCTGCCACGGCGCTCATCTGCGGCGATGCCAAGTGCAGGCTGGCGTAGGCCCCCGCGGGGCTTCCCAGCTCGCTGCCATTCATGCCCGCGTGCGGGATCATGCCAAAGGGGCCCGGGTAGGGACCGGCGAACGGGGACCTCAGGGCAGGGCCTGCCCACGTACAACCACCACCACCACCACCACCACCCAAAAAAAAAATAGAAAATATGTAAGATTCGTCAATACAATACGGAAACAAATATTTATCTTAGTTTGGTAGCAAAGATCGAACTAGAAGTCTCAGGCGTTTAGGTGTCGAGTGTGGACGCTCTCTTCTTAGTTATCAGTGGCAAATGCAGTTAATTGACATAAGAGTGGTAGAAGAAGTGTGAGCTTTTGATATCGTTGTGACGTTTACCCTGGAACTATAATAAAAATGTTGTTCTTTGTATGAGAAGACCTCCTGGTGAAATGCTATTAATATTACTGCCATCCTGTAGGTAAGCAATGTCTGGGATTTATTGACTTCAATAAATTAAGGAATTATCAGATGAGCAATCAAACAAATGAACAAACAAATTCACCCATGAATGAATGAAATGAGTGAATAAATCTTGACTTAAAGCTTTCGCGACTGCAGGAATTCATATTCTTTCGGTCTTTCGGTAAAGTCACGTAGATAGGCTTGTTATTTTCTTTGAACCGATCTACGTGTCTTTACCGAAAGACCCAAAGAAAATGAGTGAATAAACAAATAAACGAATGAATGGACGTGAATCTCGTCAAGGAGCATAAACCATCAAGCAAACTCGGGTCATCCTCGCAGTGGCTCTTGGCTAACCGTCGAACAAAGACGGTCACTGCATTGAGCGCTTTCAGATGCGCTTTGGCGGCCCTCTGGAACAATCTTCCTTCCAATGTTAGGAAGCGGCTGGAGAAGTTCGACATACATACGTAGGAATAAACGAAAGTGGGATTGCACGAGCGGACGATTTTGTGTGCAGCGCATCTCACCGAGGGAGTCCATGCCCGGGGGTTTGCCCAGGACGGGGCGCAGGCCGGGCGTTCCGCTGGTGCCGGGCGTAGGCGCGTCACTGCGCGGCGTCGGCGTGTTCGACTTGGACATGGGCGTGTTTGATTTATCGTTCTGTGACGCCGAGAGACAGAAAAAACGCACGCACGCACTCACTCAACAGCCAGCTCTTCAACAAAATCACGTCATTGTTCGCAGTGCGGCTGTATTGGTGCGGCAGGTGGCGGGGGGGGGGGAGGGGGTGGCGCGGGGAGAGGGTGGCGGGGTTTGGGGGGGGTGGCGGTAGTGGATGTGCGGCACCTACGTGGCCCATGTCTTTGGTCTTGGAGGAGGAGGGAGTGCTGCGAGAGGAGCCCACGGACGCCGGGCTGTTAGGGGCCACGTCGCGCTTGGGCAGCCTCTGCTTGTCGAGGCCGTTCTCGCGAGGCGAGTGCGACGGGCTGCCCCTCGGGGACGATGGGTCCTGCGGGAACGAGGGCGACAGGAGGGACGCGACGTTGGCGGGGGAGTACGACACGACGGGCCATTGATGTGACTGCATTATTTATTTTTTTAAAGGCCACGAGGTGAGGGATGGGTAGGGAAGGTACATCGGCAGTTTGGTGGGGAAGGAGGGTGGGTGGGTAGGTAGGCATGTATATTTGTAGGTATGCAGGTGTTTGGATTTGTGGTAGGTAAGACTGTTGAATTGTTATTATGACTGGAAGGGTAGGTAGGTAGATAGTTTAAATGTATGTACTGTGCCACAAAATCAACAGAAGAACAAGAATGCGATAAGATGTAGTGCTAAATATATAATCATCGGCCATGAGCAATCCACTGCTGGATGAAGGCCTTCCCAAACCGCTATAATCTTCGCTGGAAAATTTGGAAAAAGTCCGTATATATGTAAAAACATTTTTTTTTTTAATCAAGACAACATAAAATAGTAGCAATGCATGGTGCTCGAGTGAGGGCTTGGATGAACACAGTTGCCCTCTCTCCATCACCTTTGTATAATTTCAATATTGCAACATTCTTTAAGACAAAATTATAAACCGATGCCTCCTCGTTTAATGAACAGGTCGTCTACAGTCTTGGCGAAGGTGCCGAGTAAAGGTCTCCCAGTGAGGAAATTTAAGAAAAGTATGTGAACACCGACACGGTAACAGCTCAACATCTGTGCGGCTGTGAAACCGACCTCGTTGGAAACGTCCACCACCAGGTTGTCATCGCTCTTGTCACCATCGCTGTCCTGCGAGTTAAAAATAAAGTGCGGCGTTTGGAACACGTGCAGCATCCTGCTAAGCATATTAAATGTGAGAGGGGTTAAGCAACTGGTTACTTAACTTTTGACGTTTAAACATTTTTGTATACGTTTTTTTTTATCAATGTGGTATTAAGAAAATGCTTAAGGCTAAAGTGATTTCTTTTGTTTAAACAACATGCTTGAAAAGAGAGTGTGCATGGCAACTGATGGTCGGTTTACAAACACCCTACAATAGGCCTCACAGAAGGATGTAAGACTGAATACAGAGGTGGGCCCTGTAGAGATCCTAGCTCCAGTGCCTCCAATAGGCATGCGAACGCTTTGCCCTCCTCATGAACTGTCACGATACAGGGTCACAATTTGACTAAATCATTACCTTTTATGAACACTCTCGAGATACAATTACACACTGCATACCAGATGAGAAAAATATTGATTCTCACACTTACAATTTGATGCGTCATCTTGAGCACGGGAATGTATTGTAAGTGTTGAATCAATGCACCCTTACATGCCTACCTTCAAACCTGTTGCCAAAATCTCTATCCCCACTTTCAACTCCGTAAGAATCCATGAAACGGGCAACGTTTATATAAAAAAACGTCAGCTTGCTATCTCAGCGGTCCCCGACTGCAAGCGTTTGATTCAATAATCGATGTCCGTTAGCTATATATATTTGATAAACTGGCTCAGCGGCGAGCCTGCTGACCGCTAACCTACCCGGCTGGCTTAATCAAATAACAAATGTCAAAGGGGACTAAGCAAATGGCCACATACGTATCGGCTGAGAGAGTCCTTGTCGTCAGCCTTCCTCTTCTTGGAGTCGCTCAGGTACTCAGAGGAGCTGCGGTGTTTCTCTGTGGCGCGCAGGCTGTCTGACGGCGAGATGGAGTTCGTCTGCAGGCACCGCAACACAGAAGGGGGGTGCACAAACACAAAGCGTCCATCAGATAAATCATCCATCGTCGGCCATTTCACCGGCACGTCCGTCCAGGCGCTCTTGACTTAAACGTTGTTATTTTACTTAAAATCCAGGGGTCACTGCTTCGATTCGATCTCCCTAACTCGGCAGGTTAAACAATGGTGCCAGTTTTTTTTTATATCCTCCGCCTCTTTCCACCCAACAGTACAACAGGGTACACAGCAGTTAGTGTATTGGCAGAATGTGTTCGGTGGAGTTGAAGTGTGGGTATCACCCACCTCTTCCAACATGTCTAGCCAGAATGGATAAGTAGGCCAAACACACTCTTAGAGGGGTTCTCTAGAGGGTACTAGAGAGACTCCTTGCCTGCTCACACAGCAGTGTGACCAAGTAATTGCAGGGGTGCACTTTTACTTAATGTATAACATTTTCTGTAAATTGTAACTTAAAAATTAATGTTGGTCAAAATTACATTTATGGCAACAGCCCTCTCCCGTTACACAGAGGAAGTAGTATGGATTTTTGACAGTGAGGCCGAGAGAACACTTTCAGCGAGGCCGATCAGCCGTGTCCTCAGCCTCACCTTAACCCCAAACCTGTGCAGGATGTCCCAGAGCTGCCTCATTACACGTGGGCACATATGGGGTGCCTAAACCCGAAGTACTGGCAAGAACAAGTTTGGAGGCCTCACGGTGAAGTTGCCAACACTAAAAAAAAAATTAACCACAAAGCAAATGGCATGGAGCAGTACAATTAACAGACATCCAGTCTTTTGAGTCTCTAAATGTGCCTTGACATGGACTAGGTTCTTGTGTAAAAAAAAACAACGTAAAAAAGACATAATGAGACTCGAGGCAAGGATGGCAGCACATTGACCAACAATCACAACGATGGATAAATGCGCTCCTTTTGTTCTGTAGATCTTTTTGGGGGGTTAGGCGATGCAGCTTTCGCAAGCCACTGAATTAAGCTACGCGAAATGCCATGTGACTAACCAATGAAGCATTAAAACCTCAAGGGATATGGTAATAAAAGATGACGGTTCTATTTTCCATCTGCCAATTAAAGAGCGAAATTGTGCGCGGGGTGGCCCTTTGTTACTTGTCTGCGGGCAACATTTAAAAGATTTGCAAATTATCAATATTTTTAGTTGAAGAATACATTTTGTCTGAATGTTTTTTTTCCTTAAACAAACTCTCGGATATTTCAATTCTTACGTTCTACGCATAATGGACATAAGTATCTTGGCAAGACATGCCTGGCTGGAGGAGTTGGCTTCTGTTTTTGAATATCTGCCAGAAGCATTGCGAGTTCGGGGCCAATGCGCATGCGTGTGTCAGAGTGTATGCGAGTGGATGTCTGTGTTTGTGTGTTTTAATGTGGTCTAATGGTTTTAATCATCACTGGTGGTGGCCGTGGGCGGGAGTCAAACTCGGGTTGCAGGGTTCATAGCACAGTGCACTAACCGTTACAACTACCGCTCCCCGATTATCTGAAGCTGTCCTGAGCCTCCTCTAAGTTGACTCAGCCTCAAATGAGTACCTGGTGCGGTGTGTAAAGCATCACCACTAGACAGACAAAGACGGCCGGGCGTGGTGCTGGCCACCCACCCCCTCGTGTGCCGAGCGCCGGCCTTCATAGCTGCTCACTAAGAGCACTTGCCCCAACAGTTTGTTAAAGTTATACGGGGGATCTTAGTATCATGGTTTTGAAGGCAACATCCACTCTCCCTACTTTGAGCTACTGAATGCATTTTTTTCATCCTCTTGCCTGTATTTTCAGCTCCGCAATTTGACGATTTAACTTTCATCCTTACATCACGATCCATCGGGTGAAAATCGCAGTCGGCCGCAGCCCCGCTCTTTCTCCTTGCATGGTTCTGATTATCTTTCAACTGCTTCTCCAATCAGATAACAAAACACCGACCTCCTGACCCCGGCTCTCACACCCCCAGCTCTGCCTTAGTCTGGGTTGGGAAAATCCAGAACTCCCCCCCCCACACCCACCCACCCAACACTCTTGTCACTGAAGACCTCCCATGGCCCTGCAGATAAGGTTACACTCAACGGGTGGTCTTGCTCATTTGGTTAAGGCTATTTATTTTTTTAAAGTCCCACAGCATGTAAATATATGTGGAATGAAACAGGAAAAAAAACACATTTAAAAATATCGCTTAGGAAAATAAACGCCACACTGGACTGCTTGTTTGTGCATTTTGCCGAAGCCACGACATGGCAAGTTGCCCCTCGAATTACAAACCGGAGCTTCATACCCCCATACCGGGCACCAGGCGCATTCAACAGCGTGGAAAGAACAAACACCAGCGTGTTCGGGGTTTCATGGCCTACTGCAGTTGGCTGGCCTCTGGGTATTTCAAGCGTGATTATTAGTTTATCGTGCATGTTTGTCTATTTTTAAATAACTTGTTTTCTCAACTCCCGCAAACCGTTCCGCCCACAATCACCTGCAACCACAACCGCCGACCGAGGGGCTCGCTCGCTCGCTCACTCGCTCGCGGGCAATTTTCCGAGGTTAAACGGCTTTGCGTTTTTAACTTCCTTTGCGCAAATTGTGTAAAAATAAAACTTACACAACATCGTAATGTGTAATGGCAAGAAGAACCGTCATGTACCCCCCCCCACACCACTGTGGATGCCGATGCACGCGGTGTGACCGTCAGCACAAGGCTCAAAAATCTCTCAAGGCCTCTCGCTTAGTCAAGACCGTAAAAGGCCTCGTTTTTTTAACAGCCATTTCAAAGTGACCACAAAACGCCACTTTAACTGTGGGCCTTTCCGTAATTTTTATTTTATTTTATTTCCTCGCGAAACTCTTGACATTTTTGCTGAATAACCGTGAACCAGTAATGAAATTGGCACAGCAGCAGTGCTCAACAATCGCACAAAGTTATCGGCCAAACTGGTATGCTGCCGTGGTCTGGTAATTTAAAACCAAGTGTTTTCACAACTGAATTTGACAGGAATTCTTTTGGCAGGTAACAAAACATGGTTTGCGGTTTCTGGTTTCGGAATGGAATGGAATGTGGAAATGGCATGATGGCATGCCAAGCACAACTCCAGACGTACCACACAGATCCCCCCTCACACATACACCCCCGACCATTGTTTCAGCCAAATGCTGTTCGTAAAAACAAACCCAACCCAATCCAGAATGCCCGCACACACAAACACAGACTTGCGCATAAACGCACACTCACCCATATGTATTGACAAACGTTACCACTATTCTCACGCAACATGCCATGTATGCCCAATAAGAAACAGACAATCAGGCCAATTTTCTCTACTACAGACACACACCACAGGTTATAAGGGACTGGTTGTCCTTTTCGGAGAAGATTCTTATGATTCCTTAAATATTAGACACGTAACGATTCATCTCCCAGCGAGTCGATTAATTGCCATGATTCACAATCATAATTCGAAATAAGAATAAACAAATTGTTCATCTTGTTTTCACCATATAGCTTATATAGTACTGTTTGTCATGTTTGCTGTCCCATTGCTACAGTTGTGTTCGCCTGTGGGCTAAATGTAACACTAGCACATCATTCACACAATTTGAAGCACTGTCATGGGCACGACAATCGCTTTTAATTGATTAACCGAGACCATGAAAATATAGCCAAGTCTAGGCTCAGGCAATCTAATAAATCTTAAGCCAAAAAAAAAGTCTCGATTTGTGCCGTCATCGTTGCAGGACTTGCGACAATGATACCAGGACACTGAAACAATCATTACCTATATACAATTATTTAAAAAACCTGAAGTTGCATATTAGGGTTGGTGACTGATAGTGTGCCACGAGTAATGAGGATCTGGGCAGGTGGGTCCCACCCACATCGCAGACGGCCGAATTGTTCTGCCTGTTGTTCACGGACACCTTTATTTCAATAGCTGCACATCAATGAATAAGATCAACGGGCTCACAGCGACATTAAAGCGTTACTCTAAAGAGCAATGTGTGGGGAGGTGGCAGAGTGGGTGCGAAAACCTCTGGGCTTCGTCCGTTGGTCAGCGACAGTGATGATTCACCTACATGCACAATGCCCCGAGAAATCTGGCATCGGACGGCAAACCCCAGGGAACAGCGCGGGCTCCAACCGATTTCAAACGGCAGCATCTGTGCACTAACACGCACCGCTTCCTGAACCGACTCGAGGAGGATCACTGAAGTGAAAGAGCCAATGAGCGTGGAGGAACACTTACATGTGCACGCACGTACTTTCAAACACCAGGGGTGGAGCGATTGGGCCGCTCGCCCGCTCGCCCGCTCTAGCCACCAACCCATTCAATTAATTGTCGCAATTTGGGGTAACGATTCGAACAATCGATTCTTGTTTTAACGCTGCGGTGAAGGACAACGCTTAAAGCAGCTGCAGGGTTCACGTGATCAATTACACACAGCGTGTACAAATCAGAAAAATCTGATTCTTACAAACGTGAATAGGTGTATGTGTCGTGAGCTTAACTATTGCTAACAATTGATTAATGAATGCATCGTTGCACCCCTGATTTTATATACATACACTCTATTCTGAATTCTATAAGCAATAAAACAAATACCAAGACCATTCATCAAGGTGGTTACACTGCTGGGGCTACAGGGCTATCAGTAAACACATGTTGGCATGGCACATGAAAGGCAGTGCCCAGCCAACCCTAACAGTGCGGCAACATGCGGCTCCTCATTTTCGATGCCTATCGCACCACCTGACCATTTTAGGCTTAGCAGCCCTAAAATATGCTCAGGCCAGTTTCTGCTGCTAATTTCCACTCGTGCTGATGCTAGTATTTTGTAGAACGGTACATGAATCGCTGAAGCCATCGCTACCCACGTGCGTGTCAAAATGGTACATACCAACGCACACTAAAGCAAACACAGGTCTGTACACCAGGGGCGTAGCTATCGGGTGTGCAGGCGGTGCAACTGCCCCGGGACCTATGGCTTGGAG